TAATATTTTAAAAAAAGTTTTATAATAAAGTTTATAAAATATGTTTTTAAAAATATATTTCATAAGCAAAGTATACTTCATATCATTAATAAATTATTCTTTTATTTAAAAAATACTAAATACAATTTAATTTTCCAGGCAAATTTGCCTGAAATACGGTTTAAGGGATAATTAATGACTGATGCAAGTAATTAAAACACTTTTTAGATATTAGTTTAAGTATCATATATATATTATTATTATATATAAGTTAACTGATAGTTAATTTTTTGAACTGTAAGCTTCACATAAATTGTTATATAATATTTTTTGTCTTTTTAATAACTAATCTTTTATTTGCTTCTATGCTTAACCACACTTCTAACATTTTTATTAATAAACATTTTTCTTTAATATATAATTAGAAGTTATCTATTAAAATAAATTTTTTTCTTTTTTTATGTTAGGGTTAATTACTAATAACTTGACTTAATACTATTGATTTGAATGTTATTAAACTTAAAGAACCTTTGTAAGATCTGCACAATTGCCTACATCTTCTTCTTGCTTTTTGTTATTCAAGTTATATTATCTGTATAAGCAACTGCAATTTGTTTTATTCTTTTTACTTTAACTCTATTTATTTATAAATTTAATACTTCATATGCTTCAATCTTGTTTTTTAAACTTGACTTTATTATAAAGCTTTAATATAAACTTCATTATTTTTTCTAACAATCTAATTCTTTATAATGCTAAGTAAAGTGACTTTATTGATACTAAATCATATATCTTCTTTATATCTTGCATTAATAATCACAACTCTTTATTACTTTCTTTTATATTTTTTTCTCATTATTTTTACTATATAAATTGCTTCTTTTGTTGAGTTTTTTGATAAGTCAGCAAAGTTTGGACCTTTAAGTATTTTTTTTTTGCTATTATTCTAAATATTCTTTTTGCAACCACCTTAGTTAAACACTTTCTAAATGTTTTTAGTAATGTAATTGGTCTAATATTATAGAGCTTGTAACTCCAGTTCTTATTTTTAAAAATTGGATACATTTGCATTAGCATTTATTTATATGGTATTTTTTTAAGCTTTAAACAAGTATTTACAAATTTTTTAAACATTTCTTGTGTCTTTCTATTTGCACTCTTAATTAATCTATAACCAATATTGAACAAGCCAAAAGCAGTTTTATTCTTAGTCTCTTTTATTGCTTCTAACTATTTATTGATTAATATTTTTATTCTTAAGTTCTCATATCATTCTTCTTTAACTTCCTTGAGTGGTTTATAAAATTTTTTTATTATTTTCTTATCATCTATTATATTTTTTTATTTAAACTATTCACTAAAAATGTTCTCTTATTTGCTTCAATACTGTATTTGGTTCATTAAATAAAATGTGGTTACCTTCTTTATGTTTTAATATATAATCAATTCTGATTTTGCTACAAAGTTTGTTTAAAATACTAGCCAACATTCTTTTTAGTTTTCTATCAATTTTTTCATACCTTCTGTCTATTGCAATGCTAATTTCAGCTTTAATATGCTTATTTTTTTCAACTCTTTCAATTATTTTTGATGCTTACTACTGCTTTTTAATTGACTGGCTTCATCCTGTAAGATATACTGTATCAACATCTTCTATACACCTTATTTCTAGACCATGCTTTATGTTTATTCTCCCTAATTTTATATTAATTTTTTTAAATTAAGTTTATATTTCTTTTTTTTTTATTATTTTCTTAACTTTTTGTAATAGTTTAATAAGAGCCACAATGTTTTTATACAGAATTGATGTCTTTCTCTTTTTTCTAACACTATTTTTCTCTTGAATTATTTTTTCTTAAGTATATTTTTGTTAGTTACATCTTTTATTGCATTGAATATTATATCTCACACTTTGTTTATATCAGTATTATAATTTTTTTCTTTAAATATTTTAAGTTTTTTGTTCTTTAACAAATAATTTTCAAGGTCTGTTTGATAATCTTTTCAGTTTTCTTTTGTTGTCTTATCATATAAATAAATTGTTCTTATTAGATCTCTTTTTTTTGTTTTTGCTATACTTTATATCTTAACTAAATGCTTGAATAATACTAATATTTAATAATATTATGATTGTTAGATATTATAAATTTTGCATTAATTATTTCTGCTTGTTTCACTCTTGGTTGCAAATCTTCTAAGACTCATATTTGGTTTATTCTTGTTTGTACATTTTGTTTTGACCAAGTATAACCTCTTAGCTCTAGGTTACATACTCTATATATATCATCAAACTTCTGATTTATTAACTATTTATATAATAGAAGAGCTTTGATACTATTGCTACTACTACTTATTTTGTTTAGCTTACTATTAACTATATGATTAAAATTACCTATAACTATAAACTGTAAGTTATATGCTCTCTTTATATACATTGTTACTATTACATGCTGTAATTTTTTGATTATTTTCTTATTATTTAAAGAAATATATACTACTATTATTATAATTTTTACTTGTTTGAAATAGAACTTTGCTTCAACTAAGTACTTTTTAAATCTACAAACTTCTTCTATATATTTTTCATATTCTTAACTTACTAATAATTAATACTGAATTCTTTTTTTTTCATTATCACACTTTATATTCAAAGATCTTTAAAATGATCATTCTTTAAACTAAATTTTAAACTTTTACTATTATTGTTTTTTTTTACTAATTTCAGAATTTTAATTTTCTCTTTTTTTAACTATTTGATTATTGTTTTTAGTTTGATCTTATTGTTCTTTATTTTATTTATATTATGACATGCTATTTTAATATCCATTATGCTGTTATCACTTTTGTCATATTTGTTTTTATTTAGATCTAGTTTATTATTATTACTCTCTAACTCTGTATTTGACAAAGTGATCATTTTTTTCTGAAAAACATCTACAACTATTTTTAAAAATGATTTGAGAGCATGCTTTCTAATTGTCTTTCTTCTATTTCATCTAATTTTTTTTAATATTCTATTAAGAGTATCTTGTAAATTACTTTTTAACTCTTTAATCTTAATTACTTCAGACTAAACACTATTCTTATATTTCATTTTTACTATTTTTTTTTTTTGCTGATTTTTTTTATCATTACTCTTTTTTTTAAATTCTTCTTTGCCTTTTGAAACCCTCACATACATCTTTTTTTTTTCTACTTTACTACTTCTATAAGCTTTTGTAATACTTTACTCCAACCTTGTATTGTAATAATATACTTTTTTTCTTGTGACTATTTTAAGGTCTTTCTTTGTTTTAAAATACACTAATGCTATTTGTCATTGGTTTTTGTTTTTTTAACTAATATATAGACTGCTTTTGTTTTTACTTCTTTAAGCTGTCTTAATAGTAATATCTCTATTGCTGTTATTAAATATTTTTAATTATTGCTTTATACAATCAACTCTTTTAAAACTGATCTTGTCAAAGCCAATAATCTGCTATAATTAGTTAAAAATCAAGCCATCATATCTTTTCATAATTAATATCTGATAATCTGTAATTTCTGATAACCAGTAACCTTTATATCTATGTTTTCAATTTATTGAATAATATTATATATAAGATATCTAATTAAATCATATAAAAGTTGTCAATATTATATAATACAATGTTACAGTATATTTGTATATACAGACACTTCTTTATATGTTAAATTCATATATATGTTTCAAATCTTTTGCTTTCAATAAACTTATAAATTTATCAAAAGCTTTAAGATCTATGAACTAGGCCTAGATACTATGTTGTATATGATATTTTATAGTATGCAGAATTTTGCATTAATGATTTTTAAAATAAGATATTAAAAACAAACTTAAATTATTAACTTATTTTACTAGCTAATACTAAGCAAGATACAATTAACACTTTAAATCCACTAATAACTGATAAGTAACTAATTATTTATTATTTATATTGGATATTTTTGCCTACTATAGTATTACCGTGAAGTCATATAAGGTTATAATTTTTTTTTTTTGTTATTAATTGTGAAGAAACCTTATTTGTTTGTAATTAAAATTTTTCAAAGCTGATTCATTAATATGTGATATTATTTATTATTCAAGTCTTTAAAAGAATTGATCCAGTATAGATTGAATCTGTTTTTCAACCTCTTCCTTTCAGATCTTCTCATGAATACATGTTTGAAGCTTATGCAAAACCTTCATTATAATTTTACTATTATCAATTTTTTTATCAATAATTTGCAGAGTATTGTGCAGAATTTCTAATTGTTCTTGTCCAGTTAAGAGTTGTATAATAACTTCATTTTCTATGTAATCTATTTCTGTAGCAGTCTGTACAAAGTTATCATTATTAAATTGTTAGTGTATCTCTGTTTTTTCTTCCTTAAGGTCTAACAAATCTTTAATTGATATTGAATTATAAATATGCAATGCATCTATTATTTGCTGAAGCTTCATAATAGCTAATTCATTATCTGGATCAACAAATAAGCTTTCTTTCACATCTTCAATATGAGGAGATAAAAAAGTTAAAACAACTAGTACACTATTCTCATCATGTAAAGATATAATTTTTATGTGAAATCAGCAATTTTTGATCATATAAGCAGATATTTCATTCTAAACAACCTTTATTAGTATTAAAAGTATTGATATTTAGATTAATTAAAAAAAATATGAATGTACTATATCATCACAAAATAATACTCTAGGGCATTATTTTGAGATATATTGCTTGAAGAAAATTAATAATTATTAGCTCTCTTTAAGCAATATGTCTTAAAATAATGTCCTAAAGCATTATTTTATAATAATATATAGCAATTTTTAATTGAACATATAATATTTAAATTATGCTCAAATTTACTGTATTTAAAAAATATAAATATAGTTAAAATACTAATACTAACCTTTATCCATCTCATAGTTTGCAATTGATCAACTTTATATATGTTATGTTTCTTAGCTTAATCAAGATTTAGTACATATTGAAGTTGCATGTGACAATAATGAGTCTTAAATGATGTAATAATACTAGCATCTATGGGCTGTATTTTTGATGTTATATATAAAGGTAACTTAAGTACTTTTATATTAGTTAGAGTAACAGCACCAGTAATATATAAAGAGGCATCATCTAGGATAAGTAAAACATTATGATTTGATTTTCTCATTTTTCTGTCAAAATCTTCAATCCATTTCTGAAAATTGTGATACAAGTTAATAATAAAATTATTTTTTATTCTTCAATAATTTGTTACTTGTTGCTAGACTATTTATATAATTAATACAGTTGCACTCTCATATAAGCATCTCCTATACAGAGAAAAAAATTCAAATCAAAATTATATATACATTGTGTATATAATTTTAAATTTATTATTTGTGTATTACACATATTATTAAATATAATGTGCACTTTTAATTTATTAACTATATAGTGCACATTATTTAAAATATACTGCTAATAAATTGTATACTTTGTGCACAATTTTATATTTTTTTTGTGTGCAAAAAATTTTTATATATGTGCACATTGGATTTTTTTTACTGCTCCTATATAAGTACATCACCTATATAAGCATATTTATTTTTTGAACCAACTAAGCATTATAAGTATATGTTCTATATAAGAACACTTTTGTGGATCTCGATAGTATGATTATATAGAAGTGTGACTGTATTTATTTTTAATTGAATATTTATTTTTATGTAGCTTTGTATTATTATCTGAAAAAACTTAGCAGTTATCTAGGCTCTTTGATTATTATGATAATAAAACCCAAGTTGTTCACCAGTTTTTTTTTTAAAACATCTAAGTTTATTGGAATGACCAATAATGAAGGGCCAAAGCTTGTATGTATCATCAGCATTAGATGTAAGTGCAATTGTAAGTTGTATACAATCTTTTTTTGCTCTTTTAATTTGATGAGATGCAATAGTACGATCAGAAGCTATAGAATAAAACAATCTAGCTTATCCATATTATAAATATTTCTTAAAGAATATTTATTAGTTTTACAAATAGAATTAATATATTTGTAGTTATAGATTACTGTAGCTGTAACTAAAATAACTATGCTATTTGTTCATTGAGGTTAGGTTGAGGTAAGAATAGGATGTAGATAAAAGTAGATATTTTATAATAAAATTTTGCAAAGACTTTTTTTTGCTAGAATCTAATGAGTAGGTTCATATACTCAATTTTGAGTTATAGACAATTTTCAATAATTTTTGATAAAAGTAAATATTTGTTTTGAATTTTTTTGATCATATTACATTACATCTGATTTTTAGAATTGATTAGCTTTTATGAAATGTGGCTACAGTAGCCATGACTACAAATATATTACTCTTTACAAATAATATTAGAAAAGTTTAGTTCAATAGCTTCAAAATTAGCAAAGTTACTCTTATCATGAAGCCTAAAGTGATAAAAGTTGTGTCTTTCTTGAAAAGCTTGCAATTATCTATTTAAGAACTCTGGCTAATTGTTTTTTGGAATTTTCATTAAATCTGCTAATTTTTTACCTTTGGCTTTAATCATATCTTTATTTAGATATACAGCATGATCTTCATATTATAAAACCCAATTTGCCAATGCAGTATCTAATTTAGAAAACAAAACAATATGACACCTTTTAACTTCAAGATCACTTGTGAACATTGTATAAAATTCCTTTTTTCTTTTTAAAATATCTGAAATTGTACTTTGAGCTAGGGCTTTCAATAAATTAAACTCATTTTTTGTTTACTCTGCAAGCTCTTTTTGGGTAAGATTAAAATTGTCATTATAATGATCATATATTAATTTTCTTTGATTATTGTACAAATTCTCAGCTAAAACTACCTTATTTTTTTTTCCCATATTATAATATAGTAAAAGCTTAAAAATATTTTATAAAGTTGAAAAGAAAAAAGAATTTAAAATTTTTATTCAAGAGATATGACCAGATCAATTTTTATATATTGAAAAATTGTGTTTCCTATATAAAAAAATTAATTTGATCACATCTTTACATACTGTATTTATTATGTTTTTTTTTTTTTTACCAAATTCATGTTTTAATCAAATTCATTTAATTTGATCCATCATTGATATTTCATAATCTAGTTATCAAATCTTGATAATTTTGGTACTATTTAAATCATTTTAATGAGATGATTCAAATAGACCAAAATTGGCAAGATTTAATTACTAATTTATAAGATATCAATAATAGATTAATTTTTTTGATTGAAACATGAATTTGGTAGAAAAAAAGCTTATTTACAAGTAATAAATTTTTCATTTCATAATTTTACTACTTGAAATACCAGAAATCTTATGTTATCTACAATATGCCTATAATATTTATATTTATTTCAGGTAAATTATTAATTTAACCTTTGATTTTTATCAGATTATCATATTATTTATTTACTAATATTTTTTAAATTGTAGAATGTTCATGGGCATTACCCCAAAATTAAATATACCATATTAAAAGATTCAAGTTTTAGAATAATGTTCACACTTGTTATTTCAAGATTTTATAGTAATTTAATCCAATTCATCTTTGAGTACTTATAACTTTTCATTTATTTTATTTTATTTTTCAAAATTTTAATACTAAAATATATATTTCTTTATGAGATAATTATATAGCACTTGTACAAGGTTACTATAATTTTCAACCAAAATATATAAAAGTAATTAAACATTTAATTTATCATTATGCTTATATTAAAATATAGTAATAGTTTAATATCTATCTTTAGTATTGTGTAACAACTTTGTTTTACTAAATTCTAACCTGAAATATCTGACTTATAGATTTTATACAAGTCTAATTTCAATTCAAGTTACTGGACTATTAAGTAACCTCAATGTATAGTATTAGTAAATATAATATCAATCTTGTATTTTTTTTTCATAACAAATTAGCTAAATTTAGACATTTATTGTTAATTCTATAACTTAAAGTTACAGGTTTATTTGGATTTTTTCTAGGTTTTGGCAGTATGTAACAAATTGCTAAATAGAGCAATTGATAAAATTATGTAATTTAAAGTGCTTTGAGGGCATTCTGTTAAGAAAAAAAAAATTGCATAATTTAAAGTGCTTTAAAGGCATCTCATTAAGAAAAGAAAAAAATTATGCAATTTTAACTTTACAATTTGTGTATTGCCATGAAACTTATTTTGCAAATAACTCATAATAACCCAAAAATGACTAATTATTTTAGTCATCTAATTATCAGGTCATCTAACAATTGTTATCTAATTATCAGGTTATCTAACAATTGCTCATGATCAAATAGCTTAAGTTATTTAAAAATAACTAAAGTAATTTGGATCATTAAGTTATTATGTATATTATAATTAAGTGATATAACAAGAATTAGTTGTATATTAATATATACATACTTAGCGATATAGTAAAAACTCAAGACATTGGGATTTCTATAAAAATTTTCAAAAAACATATTCTGACTTTCTCCTAATTATTATCTTATTTTGTTTTGGAAAATGCTTATTTTTCAGAACAAACATTATTAATTCCAAGTCACTTCAATAGAATCTTGATAATTTTCTTGCAGAAATCAAATCCAAGTTGATTTGGATTTGATTTTTATTGTGAATTTATTAGAAATAACCAGAAATTTATAAATGTTGTTTAAAAAATATGCAATTTTTAGAATAATAATAGAATGAAACTGAATATAAGCAATGTAATAGAATTCCACCATGCATATCAGTTTTGGGAGAGTTAACTGTATAAGGCTTTTTTTTTTAACAGTTCTCTTGTAAAGGTATCTGATGTTATTCTACAAATTTTGTCTTCTTCAAATTATACTAACCATGCCTAATCAAGTATTACTTTTCCTTTCTTATTTTTAAATTTAACTGAAAACATTGCAGCTTTACTATTATTACAATTCTTTCATTATATAAACCTAATTCTATTATAAATATTGTCTGCATTATTTATGTTTTTATTTTTTGTTATCAATTTTTTTGTATAGTCTGTACTTGTTTACTACTTTTAACTATTTCATTATCTTCTTCTGTTTTTTGATCTAACTTTTTTCTACTTGCATTATATTCTTTATTTAGCTTTATATATTTACTAATTCCTTAGCTTGATTGCTTTTTTCTTTAATACTATTTTTTTTCTTTTTCTGTATTTAACTTGAGTTCAGCTGTTTGTTTTTTTATAATACCATAGTTTAAGCAGCTATATTCTTGTTCTAAAAGTATTTTTTATTTGCTTTTACTTCTTTTAACTATTGATTACTGCTTTTCTTTAGTTTTTCTTTAACTTTTACTTATATATATTCACAATAATTATATAATTCTATTAAGTTTCTAAATATACAGACTAATACTGATTCAGTACTAATGAGTTTAGTTAATTCCTTATCTTTTCTTAAAACTTTTAGTTTATGACTTTCTAATATTTCTTTTTGCAGTTTGTTTAATTTATTAAACAAACCTTGATATTTTTCTAATTTTTTATACTAGTCAATTTTTGTAGATACTAGTTAAAATTTTTGTGTTATACTTTTTTGTATTGTTTTATAACTTAACTAAATATACTTAGTATTTATTTGCAAAATTATATGTTTGTTTATTTGTTTTTTTGTTGTATTTATTCCTGTCTTACTCTATATATTATATGTATAATCTGCAGTACAGTGTTTCAGTATTTTGTTATTTTTTTTAAAAATTTTAAAAACAAAAAATTTTTTCAAACTTTTTAATGCCAAGCTGCTACAATAATGCTGCTCTAGTTTACTATACTAATAACTTATATCTAATTTTCTATTAGCTTTCTTTTTGTCTAATTGACTACTGTATTTTGACTTAACAGTTTTCATGTTTTCTATAATTTTCTTTCTGCTCCAAATTTGGTTGAAAATTAGCAAAGAGAGTTTTTTTGTTTTTTGAATTAGATTTTTCATTGTTGGTTGTTTTTAAGAATGCAACTTTTAGTGTTATTTCTTCATTATCTGAGATGAATTCTGAAGTTGTATCTTTTGCATTTATTAAGTTTTTTGTCGGTTTTTTTTTTGTTATAGTTAAAGCTTGTTTCTAAAAATAAGAAGTTTTAAATTCTGATTTTTTTTTTATACTCTTTGGCTTCTTTTAAGTACTGTCTAATTTCAATTGAGATTTTTAATTCTTTATAGTCTCTTTTGAAATAACCCTTCTTTTCATAATAAAAACAGATTTTTAATACTTCTTACTATTTAATTGTTATTTTATAATTATCAATGTAAGTCCTTCTAGTTATACTAAATAGTTATTTAGAGTTTTTTGTAGTTTCAAATATAATAACTATTAATCAAAACAGACTGTAATACTTTTATAAAGTAGAGACTTAATTGATGCAATTTGTCTAATATCTCAAAACTATCAAGAACCTAGTAACTAATTATTTTAGTATCTTTTATTGACATATTTTTAAGTTTAATAGTAAGAAAAAAAATTTAAATTGATTGGAATGTATTTAAAAAAAGCTTGTTTGAAGAAAGAGATTCTATTAGCTGCATAAAGCTAAACTTATTTTTATTTTTAAAGACCATTTTGAGAAATGATTTTTTTTTCTAGATATATGTAGTTTAGCAGCTATTAGGTCTTATTCTAAACTAGTAACTAGGGCTGTAATTATGTTATTAGTAGAAATATTATTTAAATTTTGAATGTTTGTATAAAAACATTTTTATTTTTAAAGCATATTTTCTAATTAGAAAAAGAGTTTGTAAATATAGCTTTTCTTTCTTTAAGTTTTGTAAATAGCTCAGATCATTGTTTTGGTTTTGTGCTATTATTTTTTGTATTTTTGTTTAGTGTATTCTTATTTTTATAATTGTTAGTTAATAGTATTCTCATGATTGGTTATTGTACTAGTGTTCATATGTTCTTGTTTACTAACTTTTGACATATTCTTTTGGTTGTTTAGCTTAGGCATATGCTCTTAGTTTGATGTGTTTTTTTAAATTTCATTATAGATAGAATTTGAATCTTAGACTTGTTACTTGAAGAATAACAATTCAACTACTATATTAGAATTATTATTCTCTTATATTTTTTTAATTAATAAAATTATTACATAATTCTTAAGATATTCTCTGTTTATATTTTAAAAAACCAATTTATATCTACTTCAAACTCAATATCTAAAAACATTTATATTATTTTTAATTTATATAAATAATATTTTTTAAATTGTATATTCTAAAAAAAACTTGATTTAATAACTAAAACTGCTATATTCTTTTATTAAATAGTTAATATTCAAATTAATTTATTAAATTAAATTTAATTATAAAGTTTTTAATTTAATATAATTTTCTAAATCTTTAATATACTTAATTTTTAAAAACCAATTCTTTAAGTTTTATAAAAGTTAATTTATTTTTAACAATAAACACTTTCAAACTATTAAACTGATAAAAAAAACCTTCAATCTTATCAACATTACTAATATAAAGAAAATTACTAACAAACAAATTGTTTATATTATTAATACAGTTATTATAACTTTAGAATATAAATTACACAATATTATAAGTTTAGGTTGCAAATAACTAGTCTAAGTTTTTAATCTTAATATCTAATAAATATAAAATTTAAATATAAATTTCTATAAATTTATTTATAAAAGTTTTATTTTATTTTTTTTCAGTATTAAGGTAAGGCTATGTCTTTAGATTTTATTGATATATATTGCTATATATTATACAACTTATATATATCTATTTTAGAACATGAAACTTAGACATATTTATCTACAACCTAAACTTACCAAAATTTTATATTGTGTTCCACTCACATCTAACCTAGATTTTTGCTTCCTATCTAATTATATCAAATAATTTGTATATTCTTTCTATATCTTACAACCTATTTTAACAATTTTTAAATTAGTTTGTTAGGTTGTTTGCTTCTTTTGAGCTACCATTTTTGGTGTATCTGAAGGATGTATTTTTTAGTATATATCTTAAGCCAAAGTTCTGCTGCTATTGCTAACTTTTCTAATTTAGATACTAGTAGTATGTATTTTAAGTCAGGTATTTGCTACTATTGCCAAGTTACATTATCAGCTAGTTTTAACATCATTTTTTTTAATAAATTATATATATAATCTGCTTTTTAAATACTTTTTTTTATAGTTTAAGTAGACTATGTTTAAGTAACCTCTTCTAGTTATTGGTCATTATAGTATTACTACTATTTTCAATTTAAGATATCTTAATCCTAATTGGTACAATATTTATATTAGTATATCTTTTTTTGTTTCATCATAAACTTCTATATAGATATGATCAGTATTCCAACTTGATACTTTTAGATATACAGAATAAACTACCTTCTCTATACAGTATTTATCTTCTATTTTTAGATGTTTTATAATGCCAGAGATGCTTCTAATCTTGAAATAACTAATCCTTTATTACAGATTTTTCTTGTATGCACTGCTTTTCTCATTATTTTAATTTGTATTATTTTAAATATTACCCTTTCAATCAAGTTCCTCTTACTAGTTTTTTTTTTAGTATATATTTTTTGAATTTATTCATGTATTTCCTAGACACATTCTCAAAAAGTCTTTGGTACAACCAGAATTATAAAGTTATAATCTCAAATGTTTATTCAAGTTGCTAGTGAGTATGAAGATGTTGGTACTGCTACACATCTTCTAATGAACTTATTTTCACTATTCTTTGTATAACAGAATCTTTTATATTTCTACTGTATATATAATGTTCACATTCTGCAAGATTGATCTTCTTCTAAGAATTCTTATTCCAATCATATACTGCACTTGATCTTTGTCTATAAGGCTCTGTATTCAATTACTAACTTTCTTTTTGAGTTACAGAAGCTAAAATATTTTAAATTTTGTTTTTAGCCAAATTTAAATCATTAATCTAAACTGTAAGGATATGAAAGCTTAACTACTAAACTATAAAACCCACACTCTTATAAAAAGTTTTAATAAAAATAAAAACATGACCTTATCATAATATTTTTTAAAAAATAAAAAAACTACACAATATCATTTTTTCTTGTACTATATGCAATCAAATTTTATTTAAATACCTTACTATAACAAAACACAAGTCCCATCTTTTTAGATCCATACCTAACAACACAATGCTTAACCAATTACACTAACTTTAAAATTATTTAATGAACAGCATTATGCCAAAATTTTGCGAATAATATTTTTTGCTAAAATACACTTTTTATAAATAAATATAACTTTACACAAAAAAAAGATTTTTGTTTGATTGTCACGTTACACCTGCTCCCGCTCTCTGATTGGCCAAAATCGAAACTTTAAAGAAATTAGTAAATGCAAAAGTGCTTACGTATAGTACTTATAGTACTCCAAAAAATTTACCACAATAACTATAATATATTGTATAATTTACTGCAATTTGATATTTATTATATAGTTTATCCAACTTAATGTTATTATCATAAAAGAAATAATACATCTGAACATTTTAACAAACTATTTCTAATCACAGATTTGATTCGATTTCGATCTTTCAGCATTCCTTATGATGATGATGATGGTGATGACCATGACCCTGTTTATGTTTATCGTCATTATGCGACAAAATTGAATGTCCCTAATAATTTGTAAATAATTAATTCTGTTAAATATAAAAATAATACAAGAGGATGAAATCCGTTTTTTTGAATAATCTTTTTTATCACTGATCATTATTTATTTCTGCATGACAAAGATGTCTCAAAAAAATTCAGATTTCTCCTAGTCGGATACATAAATAAATATATATTACCAAATATCCTAATGCTGCGGCTCCTAGTGCACCTCCTGTTAAATAGTTTTAAAGAAAAATGTATTATCTTTTTATTTCAAATAAACTCATTCATTTATAGATTATAATGTAAAATTTACATACCTCCAACTCCTAATGCTATCTTTGAAGCATCAAGTTTTTTAGTATCAAACAGGCCTTTCTTGTCATCTTGCCCAGCGGGTGGTGGTTGGTATTGTCCGGCTGCCTGTGGTTGATATTGACCGGCTGGTGGCGGTTGGTATTGACCGGCTGGTGGCGGTTGGTATTGACCAGATGGAGGTGGTTGATATTGTCCAGATGGAGGTGGTTGATATTGTCCAGTTGGAGGTGGTTGATATTGTCCAGTTGGAGGTGGTTGATATTGTCCAGTTGGCGGTGGTTGATATTGCCCTGCAGATGGTTGGTATTGCCCGCTAGGTGGTGTCTGATATTGCCCGCTAGAGGGTTGGTATTGCCCAGGGTAGCCGTATGTTTGTGATGCTTGTCCATAATTTGTTGGTTGTGGAGGTTGGTTATATTGAGGCGGTGGAGCACTATAAGTTGGTTGTTGTGGTGTTTGAGGACTTGGCATAGGATAAGAATCCTGTCTATGGAGTTGTTGAGATTCAGAATGAGGTTGAGGTTGAGGTTGAGGTTGTGGTTGTGGTTGAGATTGTGGTTGAGATTGTGGTTGAGGTTGAGATGGTGGTGCGTATTGCCCAGGTGAATGTCCCGGGTGTTGCCATTGAGAAACGCCTGTCGCCTGATCTATTTAAGTAAAAATGTTTAATTAACGTCCTTTGAATATATAGATTTTTATTTTCCAAGCAAATATAGCTTATCCTTGACTTTGTAAAATACTTACTGATGTAATAATAATTTTTGGTATTTTGATCATACTGAGACGTCCATCCTGGTGGTAAATTATTTGAGTCCATTTTTCGTTTCGATAGACAGCAAAGAAATTTGGAGAACTATATATACAAGATCTTTAACAAATTTTAATGATAACCTGTTATAGATTAGCCAATGCAGTAAAAAATTCCGTCGATTTTTTATTTGACAATATAAAAAGATTATTTTTATTTTTATACCTCCCTGCAGATTTAAATTTTTTTTAAAGATATTTTAGTACTAGGCAAGTGCGCCGACAAAATTTTACAGTCACGTGAAGGAGCTGGTACCTAACAAAAGTAACGCCCGAGTAGGATTCATCATTTTCTGCGAAATTATGCAAAAAATTATGCAAATCAAGTAGAAATATGCAATTACGTCACAAAATATGTAACAACTTTAATTTATTGTTTTTTTTTTTTTTTTAATTATTAACGGTTTAATTTTTTTTTTTTTTTTTTTTGGTATTAAGGTGACCTCTTTGGTCTTTTGACTTTTATTAATCACTTATCGGTATTGTGGTTCAATGAACCACTACAGGAGAGCGTACAATTGGCTACACGTGTAACTTTTCTATATTACCTATTTAAAGAGTCCGCCTGAAGGTTCCCCACCAATTGTTATACCTAACACTCTTGCTTGGGTGTTTCACTTTAAACCCTCTGAACCTGTAACCTGTGTTAACATCATTGATCATCTCAGATGTACTAGATCATTGTCCTCAACCTTAGGACTAATTTATCCTCGAGGTAAACCTCCCAGAGTCTTCTGTACTCATTTTTACAGTTGATTTAGGTATTGTTATGGCAGAACCAACACTTGTGGTCAGGGCTAACCATTAAACCACTATGTCCTTGTAGAGTTCACTTAGATCTTAGCATCTACTTCATAGCATAACCCCAGTATTTTAGTATACCTCTGCCTTTTTTTCTGTCCTTTTACCAAACTTCCAATCCAGATAACCCGTATAGGACTACAACCAGTTCATTAGTATATCAGGTTAGTCTGATATTTTTTTCTTCTGGTTCGTTTTGGCAGTCTGGTTGGTGGTACCTCTGAGATTCCCAACCTGAAGGTTCTTGCTTGTCTGGTTACTAGGATCAGGTATTAGACCTGGGTATCCGTTTTCTTAGACTAGCCTTTACAGTAGGGTCATCGAAGATCCAGCTACCTCTCTACTTGGGTCTTCTCAAATGAACTTCTTGTTACCTAATTTCAATGGATTTACACGACTACAAGGACTTATCTAGTGTTTGCACTACCCGATTTGTCAGTTTGCATTCCTTCGTGTAACTCTAACATTGCACAGATGCCCTATGACCTGCCAGTCATGCTGATGCAACCGCTATTACAGGTATCCTAATCCAATCATTAGTAACAATTGATGTAATATGAATATTACATAGGTGATTATCCAAATTTTCATTATCGATGGGATTAGAACACCCAACCTACCATTTGAGAGGTTGACAACCTGACCACTTCACTAGGTCGCCACACCCTTATTAACGATTTAATTTATTGTTATTCCAATTAAATAACTATCTAATTTTTTTAAAAAAAATTATATCTTTTTTTTTAAATTTGGCAAAAAAAAAAAAAAAATCAAAATTAATCAAGTTCAAATTATTTTTTTAGAAAGTGAATGTTGATTATCATCAAGAATATTCTTACATACAGAAAAGCTTTATTCAACATCTACACTTGATACTAGTAGCCAAATATAATCTAAGACTAATTTTGATAAATTGGGCAAGTTTCAATTTTTTTTTTTTCTAGTAAATATCTAAATTAAAATTTTCTGTATTAGAAAAATTTTCATTTAATCTACAATAAATACCCTACTCTTGAAGAATTTGATTGCTTGAAAATTTATATTCTTGAATTTTTGAATACAAATAAATATTTTTTTTTAATGATTTTGTTAAAAATATATAAATCATGAATCAAAACATTGAATAGTTTTAAATAAAGTTAATACAGAATATTAGTTAATATGTTTTTTAAACTTATTAAATGTTTTTTTTTTTTAAATATTAAGATAAGTACTTGTAACCCAAGATTTTATTAATAGTATATTTGGCTAATAGTTGCATTA